AAAATTAATGGTAATCCTTTGGGGTCCTACTCACATGGGTGTGGGAGGATCTTATAGTGTCATTACTCATTTCTATATTATATAAATATAATAAATATATTTCATATAATACAAATATATTAGTAATATATATTATAGGATATATATAACACATAATACCATATAATATATTTCTATATTATATATTATAAAATAAATATTTATATTATATAATACAAATAATTATTAATAATATAAATATATTATTATATAATAATATTATTATTTATTATTATTATACTAATATATATTATCTAATATTATATAATGTAGTATAATAAAAATTAATATATTTTTTATATAAAATATTTTTTTATATTATATATTAAAATTATTGAAGTAAAGTTTATACATTAAATATACTATTTAATATATAAATAAAATAAGAGGGACTTTTTGTAATGAAAATGGCACCGCCTACCCCCCTCCCCTCTCTCAGCTGGAACCACATCTACGACTTGTATCCCACAACCCATCTTCTCCAATCTCGTCCTGTGAGTCCCCCTCCCCACTTAACCTTCCAACAGCATAACAGGGTTGTGGCTCAGGAGACCACAACACCCAGCCAGAAGGCTTCCTTTGCTCAGGTCACTTCAGCGACCAAACCTACTTTTGCCTCCCCTCCCAAACCCCTGTTGCCCTCTCGGAACCTCTCTCGCTCCTCCTGCTCTCCTTACCTTTCCTTCTGCTTATCCCCATCTCCCGAGGAGACAGAGTCTATTCGCTCTAAACTGTCTGTTGCTTTAATAGTGTCTTTTATTCCTCGTCGTGACGATTACAGAGGAATCGAGAGATGGGCAAGTAGCACTCTGAAGGAACCGAATCTATCCTGTAGACACCTTTCCAATGGCGATTACCTGTTCTCCTTTCTGTACCCTGCCGGAGCTTAGCTTGCTTTACAGGAAGCAACCGACCTTTCTTTCAAAGGAGCCCGTGTTTCTCTTCGGGCATGGTCGCTTGTTGAAGGCTCCTTCTGCGAAGAAAGGGTCTGGCTCACCCTTAAACACATCCCCCTTAACGTGTGGACACCTGAGATTTTCTGGAGA